TTAAGCAAACATCTCGCAGATTGAATCTTTGCTTTGATGAGAAACTCAAAGAGTTTGGATTTGTATGAAGCGAAGATAAATAATGTGTATATGTCAAAGCCAGTGGGAGTATAGTTAGCTTTCTCGTTTTGTATATCGATGAAATACTGCTCATGGGAAACGACATCCCGACTCTGCAGGAGGTTAAGTCCTGGCTCGGGAAGTGTTTCGCTATGAAGGACCTCGGAGAGGCTTCCTATATTTTGGGAATAAGGACAATGAGAGAACGAAGTAAGACACTAATAGGACTTAGTCAAAATACTTACTTAGATAAAGTACTAAAACGTTTTAGTATGGAAAACTCGAAGAAGAGAGAACTACTAATACAAAGTAATGCCAAGTTGAGTAAGACTCAAAGCCGAGTACTGAAGCCGAGATAGACGAGATGAGCTGAGTACCTTACGCTTCCGCAGTTGGCTCAATCATGTACGCTATGACTTGTACTCGCCCTGATGTGGCCTTTTCTTTGAGCATGGTCAGTAGATATCAAGGGAACCCTGGCAGAGCTCATTGGATTACGGTTAAGAATATCCTTAAGTACCTCCGGAGAACCAAGGAATGGTTTCTAGACCTCGGAGGGAGTGATGACTTAAAGGTGCGAGGGTATAGTGACGCCAGTTTCCAGACCGACATGGACAACTACCGTTCGCAGTCGGGTTGGGTCTTCACCCTAAATGGAGGAGCAGTGACTTGGAAAAGTTCCAAGCAGGAAACTGTAGCTGATTCAACGTGCGAATCAGAGTATATTGCAGCGAGCGAAGCGTCAAAGGAGGCGATATGGTTGAAGAACTTCATTGGCGACCTTAGAGGTGTGCCTTCCATAAAGGAGCATATGGAAATTTTCTGTGATAATGAAGGAGCGGTTGCCTTGACCAAGAAACCAAGATATCATGGTAGATGTCGGCATATCGATAGAAAATATCACTTTATCAGACATCGAGTAGAAGAAGGACACCTAGTGGTTAAGAGGATATCATCAGAAGATAACCTAGCAGATCCGTTTACGATTGTGGACTATTTGAATAATTCGATTATTCTTAACAAAATCAATTATTTTGGAAGTCAAAACATGCAAATTAAAACAATAGTTAAACAATTAACATAAGACAATAACTTTACTTATAAATAATACTTCTTTATTTAATCATCAAAAGTTAATTACATTTATCTATTATATGTTTCCAAAACTATCTAATCTAAACTAATATCATCCTTCAGTCATGAATTGGTGTGTAGATTGTCTAAATGGTATTAGACATAGCAAAGGTTTGCTACAACGTTCATGAGCGCTTATGAACAAGTTTTGAGCATTGGAATAAACCCGCGCTTGCTGGAATCACTTTATGGAATGTGACAAAAGTGATTGCAAGACGATAATATCATATGGTCTTAAAACCTAGATATATGGTTTATTATTTGCTAATTGGTTGTGCATTGATAATGCGAAACCGCATCAATAAATTGATTTTATAAAACACATTGTTGTGTATAATTTGATTGGTGGATAAGTAAATGCATATAAGTCGAAGTTTATCTGTTACTTCTATCCTAAGAGGGTAAAAGCGATATCACGACCGCTCGATGATTTGGTTTCACTTATGTGTCGGGCCCGGTCAGGACTGAATTGATGTGTTTAATTAAGTTCTATTTCAAATAAATCTGAGATCGAGAAACCAACTGCTGGACAATTAGTTCCATGAGATTGTCCGTATAATATCTAAACAGAGGATTGTACGATCCCTTATCTAAAGGACAAGTTACTGATGAGATCAGAGTTGACAACGTCTTGAGAGCTACGATTGCTAATCGGATTGTGTTTACATTTATAGTTACTAGACTTATCCAAGTGGGAGACTGTTGGATTAGTGTCTAAGGTTGTAACTACATTTGGTAATTACTTGACCCGGTTGTGCATGGTCCTTTTGGGTTGCCTTCACCATAGCAACTTGACAATGTGATTTATATAGAGAGAAGAAATATTATTATTAATATGTTATAAGAATAATATATTAAAGGAATAATAATGTTGTTTGATTAATATAAGTCATAAATTAATTAGGAATTAATTTGGTGACTTAAAGAGATTAATTAAATAAATGGGCATAAACTGTCAAATGTATGATAGTTGTGTTTTAGGCTATGAATCCTTATGGATATGGGAAGGGACGATTTTAAGGATATGGATATCCTATAAATCGTCCAAGGCCCTATCTAGAAGGATATTTGGATTTCTTTGAGGGTAAGTTATCCAATTAGGGTTTAAGGTAAATCACTAGGAGCTCATAGTATAAATAGACCCTTAGGGAAGGAGAAAGCGGACACTCTATGCTTTGAGGAAACCCTAGAGCTGATTTCTCACCTCTCCCTCTCTCTCATATCATCTTCTTGCTAGTAGGTGTTTGTAAGCCATTAGAGGAGTGACAATTGTGACTCTAAGCTCCAAGGAAAAGAAGTTTTCAAGCAAGTAACTCAAGGTATTATTCTAGATATTATTTCATATGTTGTAAATTGTTTGTTTACATTAGATCTATGATTCAAAGTCTTGGATACAAAGCATGTTCAATTAGAGAAACCTAGATCCAAGCTATAGGGTTTGCATGTGCACATAGGAAAGTTCTTATGGCTCAAACCCATCAATTCTTGCTTGTAACTTCAGGTATGAAGTTGTAACTTCAGAACTGAACTCCTCTGGGCCTCTTAGTACAAAAAGTTTCCAGCTTGTACAAGAATGAGACTCCCCCAAAGTGTAAAGCTCCATTGGAAGCATAGATTGATCATTTAGAGCCTTTAGAACCTTGCATGTGCGTAAAGTTTGCAACTTTACGTGATAAACATGCCTTAGAAGCTTGGATATGTAATCTGGAGCCTTGCCATGGCTTAAAAAGCGTCTGCATGGATGGAGGTCTGCGAGGACTCGACGAGTTGGATGAGCAACTCAGCGTGCCCGATGAATTTGGCCGCGAACTCGACGAGTTGGATGAACATCTCGACGAGTCCGTTGAAGTTTTCCTTGAACTTGGCGAGTCGACTAGAGTTCCCCCAATTCTTAGGCACGTACAAGCTCAGTGAGTTAAAGGAAAACTCGGCAAGCCAATCAAGGATTTCACGACTCCTCGAGTTCAGAAAGGACTCGACGAGTCGATAAACTGCACTCGACGAGTCGAGTCAACTTGGACAGTTGACTTTGACTGTGGGCGTTGACCTTGACCAAGAGTTGGACAGTATTTTTATTTTTATTTTTTTAAATTTTATTCTAAACTCTTTTTAGGTCATCTACATATTTCCATTTGTTTATAATGTTTTATATTCTTCTTACTTGAGGGAAAGTAAGGTTTAAGCTTGGGGAGATTTGTTAGATGCCATTTATGCAACTTATATGGTAGTTTTTATTATAATTTAGCATCATATTTTGTACATTTGCATGTCATTTATTTAAATAATGTTTAACTCATGTATTCTATTAGAACTTTCGTATTGCTCATGTTTTTATGTCAATTTTCGATAGTTCGAGTGAAGCAGTTGGATGCGTGTTTGGAGCTTAAAATGAAGTAATAACTAAGGAAGGATGTTGAGGAATGATTGAGAACGGCTTAGAATGAAGAATGACGATAAAAAAGACACAAAATTCAATACATGTGATCGCATGTCTTGTCCATGCGATCATAGCTTTGTCCATGCGATCACATGTTTGGCTCTCAACTTGACTTTAGAGATTTTTCGTACCAAAAATTCAGATCGATGAAAAAATGGTCTTTATACGATCATAACTACCCTTTATGCGATCATAACTTTGTCAAAATGTCTCAAAACAGTAACGTACTTCATTTAGTCGGTCTGAGACGTGTTTTCTTCAATACATGTGATCACAACTTTGATACATGTGATCGGTGCACACCATTTTTGCTTCTGATGTATAAATCGACCCGCATAACCTTCCAGTAATCCTAAGAGGTGATTCTCGATGACTGTTGGACGATTCCAGACTAAGAAAACCACTTCAGAAGGCGATTTTTTAATTCTTTCAGTGACTTTTAAAGATCTGAAGACTGTGAATCATCTCACACATTTAGTTTAGAAGATTTATCAATAAATGTTTCTTTTATCTAGTTTAGTTTCGTTTTTAGCCATGTCTGGCTAAACTCTAGTTTTCAATTATACATAAACTAGTACTTTCATGTGATCAGTTATCAGATCTAATACATACACACACATACACGAAAATACTTATATAATAAAATCAAGTAAAACCATATCATATAAGTTCATCCAACACATAGTGTAGATAATAGGCACATATAACTTTTAATTATCTAAATACTTCATAGCTATATGTAAGATGAAAGTAACTATGCACTTACTTAACAAAAGTGGATAACTAACGATTTCGGTAGCGCTTCACTTCGTACCTTGAAAAGACCTAGACATATAAAGTACTAATCCTTAGTCTAGTTTCGTAATCTTGGTGACTATAATAATTATAGTCTAGATTCCTCACTAATCCTAATGTCTACATCAAGATCTATCAAGTAAAGATCAGTCTGGCAGGACAGTTGGGAGGCAAGAGCATTTAACTGACATAGCCTTTCTGAAATCCAACAACCAAACTATCGTGACCATTCTAGACACCTCTCTTGTAAGTAAATCAATTAGCATTATGATTTGGAATCACTGATAAATATTATTTATAGGTTCATAATAATGACTTATGACTATAAATATAAGTTACACTGAAAGACTAGAGTGCAGCTTAACTTACAGAGATTCTTTTGACATAAGTCTGGAAATTGTGTTGGCAGAGTTTCTACTCGATAACTAGTACTTTCCGAGCACTCAGGGATTGCAGGGCTTCGTCGTAGTACAAAAATCTAAGGGAAAATGGGCTAAAAGGTTGGAATACTTGAAAGAGAAGGCTTATATGCGTGTGAGGTGAGTATTTATAGCCGAAAAAAGTTAAGCACGCCATGTATATAAGGGAGAGCTTCACGCTCTCTAACCTCGCTCGCTCCAGTGGTCGTTTGCCACGTGTCGCCTTGTTGCTCGTCTATGTCATCGCTTCTAGAATGTTGCCACGTGTCGCATTTTCATCGTGTCACATGGAAAAATCTCATGGTGTTACGTCACCTTTTCTCTTGGAGGAGTGAGCGGCCAACCTTGCCACGTGGCGCACTCTGGTGCTACTATGTCACCAACATATGTATTTTCCTGAAATCTTCAAACGACCATAACTTTTGCATACGAGCTCCATTATTGACGTTCTTTATATCCTTGGAATCCTCTCGATGAGCTCTACAAGTTTCATTAAGGCCTCAACATCTAATTCTTTCTCTAACAATAATTCACATTTAGACCAGTTTAGACTGTTAAAACCCGTGCAAAATTCATAACTTCATACAAACTCCGTTCTCGACTATCTTTTTATATGCGGGTTCATATTCACGAGATCTTTAATTCTCGTTTAGATTGTTTTGGCTAACAATCAACTGATTAAAATTCAATTTTTGAGCCCGCACTGTTGCGCTGAAACTTCGGAAAATGATAACTTTCTCTCAAGAAGTCAGATTTGGACGTTCTTTATATGCATGCTCCTAGTTTAACGACTACAAAAAATTTTGTTTAGATCAATTAGGTTAAAAAGTAATTTATCAAAAATTCACTTTTTACAATACGTAGAACCGTGTCAGTTTTATCGCGAAACTTCAAAGAAGCATTACTTCTTCATATGAAATCAGATTTCAACATTCTTTATATATATGGAATCCTTGTCACACATACTTTAACTTGTTTAAGATTATTTACCCTAAATAATTTTTATAACAATGTTATGTTTATAACTTATTCTATTTTAATTGACCAACCCAAATCTGCAGATGTTACAATGAAGTTTAAGACGGAGACATCAATCGCTTGGAGAACACTAGGGCACCAATATTATTTGACCGATTTGTGAATTAGGAACTAATATAAGAGAAGGACAAACCATATATGAGAACATCTTATTAATGATTGTCCCATGTAGAATATCATGAACAAAATCTGAAGAAACCAATCATAAGACTTAAATGTGTACAAAATTATTAAATTTTAGATGTGTACAAACTGAAAACCAGGGCCGGTCCAGACGGTGGGCAACCCGGGCGACCGCCCAGGGCCCACGTAGGACTGAAAATTCTCGAACGACCCGCAATACGACACGAAATAAATGGGTTTGGGTTGAGCTTTTTAATCCGTTAACCCGCTGACCCGCCAACCCGCCAACCCGTTTATTAAACGGATCATATATGGGTTACCCGACAACCTGTTTATATATATATATATATATATATATATATATATATATATATATATATATATATATATATATATATACATATATAAAATTTTTAAATGTATTTATGTATTAAGTATCAATATTTAATAAGTATTATATAATAAGAATTATCTATGTTTGTATTAATGATTAGTTTGAGCATGTTTCTATGAATGTTTTTAATTTTCATTTGGATGTTTAAGACGTATGTAGTTAAGTGTTTAAAATTCGGATATGTTTACATCAACCATCAAGAATTTATTCATATTTAATTGTCAATTTTATTTATATAATCCAACCCATGAACTCAAATCTGACCCACAAACCCGCCAACCTGTAAACCCGTATAAATAAATGGGTTGGCGGGTCATATATGAGTTTATGTTCCAAACCCGCCAACCCATGACCTGCCAACACGTGACCTATATATTTAAATGGGTCATGTTTGTGTTGACATATTTTGACCCATCAACCCACGACACGCCAACCCGAATACGACACGATTGTCAGGCCTAAGCCCACGTCTCCAAGGGTCCCAAAGTTTCTGGGCTATGTAGTGTGTGTGTGTGTGTGTATATATATATATATATATATATATATATATTACTTAAATGATTTTTAGAACCTAAAGTTGTTTAAACCCAAACTAGCTCAAAACATAAACAATTTGACTTGATTGTTATTGTTAATCGAAGGAGTTTATAGTGAAGAATAAATGATCTTTTTTTAATCTTTATTATATTTGTTTTAAGGAGCTATCTTTTTCGTTTTATCCTGGGCCCGATATATGTTTGAACCGGCCCTGTTGAAAACATATATTATTCTATTAATTCATTTTTCCTTTTTAACCTAAAATGGCGGTTTATAAGAACAGAATTTGAAAAAAAAAAAAAACAAATTAAATTGTCAAATATAAAAAAAAAACTTAATAATATACCAATCAAAAACTATATTACAAAGAAAAACCAATATAAAAAATAAACAAAGAAGTAATTTACCTCTCATAAAATAGGGTACATGTCTTCTTCTTTTTGTCTTACATTTTCATTTCCTAATAAAATTAATGAATGAATGATATGATACTCGTACGGCCCCACCTTCTTGTGTTCTGCTCTGCTGTGTGGTTCGTAGTTGGTACAGCATCAAATCTTTAACCCAGACCCTCTCTATCTCTCTTTCTGCGCCTCTATACACCGACACCCATCGTCGCCGGAATCTTCAACATCTCTCTGTAAGTTTTCCAAATGTATTACATGGAACAAAAAACAAAAAACTATTCGTTTTTTGCTTAATTTATCGCGAAAGTAGATGTTTTTCTTGTATATTACTTAAAAATTGGTTGATTAGTCTTCTGGGGTTCTTTATAGTTTTGAAAATCGGGTGTTTTCGGGTTCATTACTGTCGATTTGGAAACGGAATAAATGCTCTTATTAATGATAAGAACTTTATCAAGATCCCCTTTTGTTTCTCTTTTTGAATTTAATTGGGCTATTATTATTTTTTTTTTCTCGTTTTTTTATGTCCTCTAAGTTCGATATAATTTGTAGACCTCAATTTTTAGTTCAAGATATTTGCTTTTCAACCTCAAAATTCATACGATGTACGTATATATTTGAAAATTTTGATGACCAATAATAATAGTTCTTAATATAACTAAAAATTGGTGTCCACATTGCAACAAAATTCACTAATTTGTTGTATCTGGAAAAGTCTTGTGGGGCACATTTATATACAAATTTCCCTAATTTGTCAACTTGTCTTTGCTATAAAGTTCTTTAGATCGATTCTTGATAGATGTTCGCTTTCATAAACAATTTTCATGAATTTAGTAAAGAATAACACTATTTCAGAACAAATTCATCGAATGGCATAATCGATTTTTCAAAATTAATCTAGAAAGAAGATAACTTTATTACATACAAAAACGGAGATGGTGTTCATCGTTGAAAACTATGCGCATCGAGATAATTTAAAGAAACCAAAAAAACGAAATCTTTAACAGAATCGCAAAATCTTTCAAGATTATAAAAAGCCAATAAGCATGGTTTATGGTGTGGTGTCCCACAGAACATCAATGGTGGACTTTAAATTATTACCGAATTTCAGTATACGATTCCGTGAAAAAGATAATGTATGTGGTGTTGCTAATCGTTAAATAGCACAAGAAAAGAAAGCAAAAATTGAGTCGTTTTTCAATATTCGCCCTATCTTTTTGGTGAATTTATACTACTTTTATAAAACTATTAAATCATTCTTGTATATTTATAGCCAATCGACAAAATAGGGTGTTCTTGATAAAAGAAGAAGCGATCATGGATGCTATCACTCAATTGCAAAGACAATTTGTCGAATACACAACATCTTTATATCGTGAGGTTAGTTTTTGTTTTTCACTTGAAAGAATCTTGGAAAAGGTACTTAATTTGTGATTTTGGTGTTTTAAAGGGGTATCTTGATGATCAATTTACACAACTTCAGAAACTGCAAGATGAAAGCAACCCAGATTTTGTTGTTGAAGTTGTGACACTTTTCTTTGAAGATTCTGAAAAGCTTCTCAACAATTTGGCTACTGCTCTGTGAGTTTTTTTCTTGTTTTTTTTTTTATGGTTCTTGAAATATTTTTGTTGATGTAACTTTTTATTTTTATTAATCAGTCAGCAGGAGAATATTGATTATAAACAAGTCGATGCTCATGTGCATCAGTTTAAGGGTAGTAGTTCCAGGTATTATTTCACGAAAAGTCGCACGATTTTTTTAATTTTTTTTTTTTTCGTTTTGCAAATTCTGATTTGGCATGTTTGACTATTAGTCAAACCAAGGGAATCGTTTGGGTTTTATGGTGATGGGTAAATTAGTAATTTTAGTTTAAGAAGACTTATAAAACTTATGTTTCTTGATTTGTGACAGCATAGGTGCACAACGAGTGAAGAATGTTTGTGTCGTTTTCAGAAATTATTGTGATGAGAAAAATCTTGATGGGTTAGTAATTATTCTTGTAATTCTTGATATAACGTATGAAAGATGAAAGAAAGAACATTAAATGGTCTCTTACATTTTTTTTTTGTTGAAAATATATTTTTGTAATTTTAATTTGTTGGCTAAATATATTTAATTTGATAACTGAAGGTGTGTCCTATGTCTGCAACAAGCGAAAAATGAATACATCCTTATAAGGAACAAACTCGAAGCCTTGTTCAATGTAAGTTTTACCATTTTAATGAGATTTTTTAACCTTATGGTTGAATGTTGTACACAAATTTGTGTTTATATTTTTATGTATAACAAGAAAAATATTAAAAATATAGTGGGACCCATCTAGGTCCCACTATTCACTAGAATGTTTTTGATATATGTTTGAAAATGCAGCTTGAGCAACAAATCTTGCAAGCAGGTGGATCGGTGCCTATGATGGCGTAGGTATAGAGGTTATGTATGAAATTATGATCGGGAAATTGTGAATAATGTTGCTCTTTTTGTTTTTTTTTTTGTGTGGAGACTTGAAGTTTACTTGCTTAAGAGTATAAGATTCACAATGTGTGATCTCCATAATGATATGTTTTATGCTTTTTTCTTGATATTTTTCTCGAAAGATTGTGTGTGTACGATATTCTCATTTTATTTTACTTTATTTATTTTGTGACGTGGTCTTTTGAATGATAACGAGTGTATGGATACATAGAAGTTCTTTTCTTTTTCGAAATTGTTAGCTAGAAAGGTATTTGTGAATTGTGATTAAGCATGTATAACCATAAAAGGGAAGGTAAGTATATGATATGGCATTGATTATGTTTTTAGGTGACAAAATGGAGGAGTGCTATATATAGAAGCATTTGTGAAAAAATAGTAGATTTGCTGAGCCTATATGTAGAAGCAGTTGATAAGGAATGAAATTGATACATCATAAGTTGTTATGGTATTAGGAGAGTTGCATAATAGGCAATGTCTTAATCGAAGATCTTGAACTGCAAGACAATTTTTGAACCTAATGTCTTTGTACATATCACATCTTTTAATACAATGCAAGTGAACCTCTTGATATTGTTCTATGTAACAAGTGTTCTTGCATCCTTTTTTGTTGCATAAAGTTAAGTGGCAGACTTAGCAAAACCAATGGATCCAAAGTTTAGACATTGTATTACACCCTCCATAGTCACTACCAATAGCATACTAAGATATATACGTTAGATGAAGAGAGGCACAATGGAAAACCTCCATGCATTCCATTTCTTACAAGTCATTCAAACCAATTTGGGAAATTAGAATCTCCATTGACCTAATCTGAGGATATGGAAACTGAGCGACCGTGATCAATTTAAATAATCATAAATTGCTTATCGGCTCTAGAAGTTGATATATGGTTATTGGTTAGGAACTATGAATGCAAGAGTAGTTCCATGATAAGCAACCGTGTATAGCATATAGTTAAACCTCTCTTACAAACAAGGGTTTCTCTAAGATTCAACAATCCTTTAGAGATTAAATTTTAAAAAAAATTATATGAAGAGTATACTAATTTTGCAAGGGTGAACTCGATTCAGTCCCTTTACCCAAGTGTCAGCTTGAGGATATTATTCCTCTCGTGTTACAAGCACAATAGTCATTGAGATCCTAATGTTATATTTGACTATGACACTTGAAATACCACCTTACTAGGATGACGATTTACAAGTGTGTTGTAAAGTAGGTTGAGCTTTGTAGACCTTAATGATGTTTACGACCTTCTTAAGGAGTTCGAACAAGTCAATCCTACCTAATGAAGAAGAGTTGTATGCTTTCGTTAGAGTTAGTGGGAACACTCTTCATTTCCTCGATTTAATATAATATATAATTTATAGTGTCATAATAATGTAACATGTCATTAATACTATATTGGGTAAGGTAAATGGACCGGTAGATACTTCTTCCACTAAGTTTACCACAAATGACATGTCATGTGTTATGTATGTCATTCAATGTGTTAAAACATTGGATGAGAATATAATTCTTTAGAGTTCAATTATCCCATAGAAGATAGGAGTTGCCTGAACGATTGGAGTATGTCTAGATGCATGTATATACTTCCTTGAAGCACTTACATACGAGGAATGGTTTATGAAAAATCAACATTATCCTTTATTTGTGACATTTATGGTAAATGTAAGAAAATAAAGGTAGTAATTCCTAAAAAGCCATTTCAAGTTATATCATCGACCAATATTTTAATATCGTGTCATTTTAGGCATAAGGTTGCCAAATACGTTGGAGTTATTATGTTGTTGCAGTGAAATCACCATATTAAGCATTTGATGTTTGGGTGTAAGACATTAAGTGGCGATGTCTCATTTTAGTGAATTAGTGCACATGGTGTATTGTCTTCGTTAAGCATCATCATGCTCCATTCATCATGCTTTTTTCATGAAAGATATGAGAATCGCTTTCTAAATTTCATAGTTATTGATGTGGCTATGAAGTATGGATAATGTGATGTTTTGTGACATTTATGAGTTTGCTATATTGTAGCGGAAGATCCAAAACCACATATATTCATAATTGATGAATATTGGAAATGACCCACTTCAAGGTTGCAGGACATGGATCTATGTCATTGAATGAACCTTGAATAAATGATTCTAAAGCTTCATGTCTTTTAACTTGTAACACCCGGTTCCTGGTATGTATTTAAAATCATAATTTATGCACTTTTATAGAGGAACTCGATGAGTTGGGAGCCCCAAACTCGTCGAGTAGGAATTATTTGGGACGCAGGTTAAGAAACCTACTCAACGAGTTAAGAGACCTCAACTCGACGAGTAGGCTGGCAGATATGAAATCCTAAATTTCAGGGTTTTACACTTTATTAAAAGGCCTTAATGCTTCATTTAGGCCTCCCTCATCATCCCCTCAGTCTAGAGCAAACCCTAATCGTGCCTCTTTCCCCATTTTGAGCGTGAGTGATCCCTAAGAGTGTTCTTTGGTGCTTTTCTTGAAGAAGTGTGAAGTTGGTGGTGCAAGGTCGAATGGGGGAGCTTTAGATCCGGGATCTTCAGTGTTTTGACAACCATTTGGAGGTATAAAGTCAATACATTGACTATTTATTTGTTAGATCTCTTCATTGTCACTTTTATGGGGGGTTTTGGTCCAAGTAGCATGGTCCTTGGGAAATGGACGTCCCAAGTGAGTATACTTCAAGATTTAGGACCTTGGAGGGTTGTCATGGCATAAAGGTGCAAACTTTATGGCCAATGGAGCCCCTTACAAGCTTTAGGATGTCTTTTTGGCCTTTTAGCCCCAAAAGGCCATGCGTGGAGAGAAAGGCAAAGACTTTACGTATTCAAGTAGTGTCTAGGGTCTAGATCTCAGTTTGTATGCCTTAGCTTGAAGTATTAATGGATTTTGGGTAAAGATCTAGGTCTTAAAGAGTTAGGGTTTGAGCTAAATCCATTAAGGAAGAGTATTAATAGGTAAAGGTGGAAACTTTACCATTAAAAGGACATTTTATGTATGCATATGAAGTATGGAGTTTAGATTTGAAGGATAAAACCTTAATCTATTAAGATAGCTTAACATACTAAAGAACTCGATGAGTTCATATATGAGCTCGACGAGTTGGTTGAAGTGCCCTGATTCTATATAAGGAAGACTCGACGAGTTGAGTGAGAAAGTCTCGATTATGTGGATAGGAGGAACTCGATGAGTTGTGAAAGAACTTGATGAGATGGCTCGCGATTTCAGAGTCTTATGATTTATGGAACTCAGCGAGTTGATAGGTCAACTCGGCAAGTTGAGTTAACTCGGAATGTTGAATTTGACCATAGGTTGACTTTGACCAAGATGTTGACCTTTACTTTGACTTTGACCAAAGTTGACCCTTAAGGGGTTATGAGTATGAAAAAGGTAATCAAAGGAAATATTTTATGTGTAGGAGTTTGAGTGGGGTTGATTTCAGAGCTGAGGATAGTTTAACTACTTCCTAGCATTTAAGGTGAGTTACTTTCTAGTAGAAGTGGGTCGAAGGCACCAATGCCGGCACACTAGTAGTTGATTATAGTTGAGATGATTGTCTTTGTAATAATTGTCTGGTATGCCACTATCTGTTATGATTTATGTGCTAGTATGCTATGATATTATGTGATAGTGGTAGGAGGGGTGAAATAATCCCTAGTTACCAGTTGAAAGAGACCGAAGGGGTAGGCCAGCGCCCAAATATGCTAGATAATATGTGAATTATATGTATATGCTAGGTTATTATGGTAGGGGATGAAATAGTCCCCGGATATCAGTTGAAAGAGACCGAAGGGGTAGGCCAGTACCCATGTATGCTAGGCGATTATCGGTTGAAAGAGACCAAATGGGTAGGCTAGCACCCATATATGCTAGGTGGTTATCGGTTGAAAGAGACCAAAGGGGTAGGCCAACACCTAGATATGCTAGGTAGTATGTTATTGTATGGTATGTGGTATAATGGGGGAACTCATAAATCATTGTGCTTACGATTTTCACTTTTGGTTTCAAATACTTATTCTTCGAAGGGAAAGGAGCGTACATGATCGCAGGACATCACACTATATTTTCCACATCGGAGATCTTTGGGATTGTTACTCTGATGTTGTTTTATGATGACATGTTTTGATTATTGATACTTTGGATTTGATATGAGTTGATACTATGGTTGTTTTCAGACAAATGGTTTTATAATTGTTTTATCAAAAATGAAATTTTTGGTTGTAAATTTTGGGATGTTACATAACTTGAGAATATTTTTTGGTTTATAGATGAACTAAGTGTCATAACTTGAGGGTATGTTAAACGATGATCCTAAACATGACAGTTATAAATTTTATTTTCATATATGACGTGCAACTCAAGAGAACACAAATATGTCAACACGGGATTCATTCCTTCAATTGGTTTAGAGTTTTAGTATCAATAGGCCCCTTAATGCATCGATATCTCAAGCATTTGCCCACACTTAAAGGAATCCTATTCGTATTATTCATTTTATAGATCAAGACAACCACATGTAGAGTACGTTGCTTTTCAATTCATGATATATATATATATATATATATATATATATATATATATATATATATATATATATATATATATATATATATATATAAGATCAAATGGGTAGTTAGACTAAGAATCGTCAACTACTAAATGTTAGTGAATTCTTTGTAAATGACAAGTGTTTCGCATATGTCCAAAGGTAATGGTGTTGGATTTGGTGTCTAATCCCATAACTATAATTGGTATGTACTTGACACAATAATATCATGGTCCACTTGGGTTGTAAGTTGTAATACTCTGGACAATTTTATATGATGGATATTTGAGGAAGAGGTTATTGTGATTTATTAATATATTATAAGTATAATATATTAATTGAGAAATAAAATTATTTAATTAGTATTGATCAAGAATTAATTTGATATTAATTTAGTGATTAAAAGAAACTGATTAAAGATACAGGGACTGATTAGGTGAATCAGTAATACTTCTAGTTGGACTCATGACTCATGTTGATTATAGTTGGACTAAACCTATGTGAGATTCCAAGAAGGTTTAGCCCAAAAGATCCAAGAAATATAAAGAGTCATTAGGGTTTGCATGGTTGTAATCCTAAGCTATAAAAGAAGTCCCCAAGACCTTAAAATCGGTCCCCATGCACACTAGAGTTGTAGTTAGCCGATTTTGATCTCCCAAACCTCTCACTCAAATCCATTCTCTTGTTCTTGGTTTGTTATAATACATTTGAGGCATCACACTGAGGTGCTAGGCTCCTAAAGGTCAAAGATAAGCAAGCTACTACATAAGGTAATCTTCTAACTATTTTTTATGATTCAAATTTTACCTTGCATGCTAGTTTAGGCTTTATGCTTTGGAAAAACAATGTTGCATGTATAATTAGAGAAAACTTAGATCCAAATATTTAGGGTTGTATGTGCACCATAGGAATGTTAGAGTACATAAAACCCATGAGTGGTATCAAAGCCAGGTTGTTTTCTATTATATTGATGCAATTGTGAGGTTTTCAAAAGCTGAAAA